CTTGTTTCCTTAATCTAATAATTACTATTTTTAAGGAGTACAGTTAGCTGTAGAAAATGTTTTGCTTGCACCAATGTAACAATTCACTTTCCACTTATTCTTTGCCCACTCTTGGTTCAAACTCTTGGTGGAATGAACCATAGTAATAGTAAAAACAACAACCAACCAAGCAAGAAACAAGCAAATGAGAAAAGAAAATGCTGTGAAGGAAGTCATAGGAAGTGTAGTTATTTTATGTCAGAGATTTATGGACTTTGCAGTCAATATTTGAAGAAAATATTCATCTTGTAGCTTCTGTAAGCGTTTTACGAGTGTCTCATTATAAATAACTAGACTGAAGAGCATTTTTTTTACAAGTACAGAGATACTGTCTTGCAAGAAGGCTTGAAGGATGTGTTCAGTAGGTGGAGGACCGTGAGCAGCTGCTTTATATTCCTGCATTTTGAATTCTTATTACATGGCTTTCTGTTGTCATTGAGAAAAGAAGCTGAATCCAAGCTTAAATATATTTGTGTACTTTTTTTGATGGCAAGCAATATATGAATAGAAATGTATTGATGTATTAATCTTTTCTCCTAAATTCTCAGTAAGCTCTTTACTCTCTAACTACATATTTAAATGTTCAGTGCTCATATCCAGCTGGATAGTTTTACAAATTATCTTAGTACATAAGAAACATTCAGTAATATTCCTGAATAAATGAATATCTACAACTACCACTATTACGTGCTGACTTAGATGAGAAAATAAATACTGACTCCGTATTGACAAGAAATCTCATGAACAAACTCACAGTCTATGAGATTTAGCTCTCTAAATTTAAATTATATTTATGTGAATAATTATCTTCTGAAACTCTTAAAATTAGTTATTTCAATTCTTTCAGAAGAAAAATATCATTATCATTAAAATATATACTTAGAATACCCTCTGGCAAAATTTTAATTTATATTTTAGTTTATTTTTTATTTTTATTTTTATTTTTTTTTCTTTGAGATGGAGTTTCGCTCTTGTTACCCAGGCTGGAGTGCAATCGCACGATCTTGGCTCACCGCAACCTCCGCCTCCTGGGTTCAGGCAATTCTCCTGCCTCAGCCTCCTGAGTAGCTGGGATTACAGGCATGCGTCACCATGCCCAGCTAATTTTTTGTATTTTTAGTAGAGACGGGGTTTCACCATGTTGACCAGGATGGTCTCGATCTCTTGACCTCGTGATCCACCCGCCTCGGCCTCCCTAAGTGCTGGGATTACAGGCGTGAGCCACCGCACCCGGCCTATTTTAGTTTATTATATGAATCAAGGATAGCAGAATTCATTCCATTCTTTGGAATAAAAAAATAATAATAATGTAAGCACCATAAGACATGACGTGTTAGGGCACTACCAAGTAGAGTATTGCAATGCAGCTTGGATTCAAGAAGCCAAGCAGTCTGGAACCCAGTCCTGGCAAACATAATAACTGTGTGACTTTGGGGAAGCAAATTACACTCTCTAAACTTCATATTTTCGTCTGAAAAAATGGAATAGTAATATTATCTACTTCATAGGGTCATCGTAAATTTGTATGTCAAGTGCTTAGAATAGAAACTAGCAAATGATGTGCTGTTATCTATAACAGCAGCAGCAGCAGCAACAGCAATCATAACGTAATCGTTACTGTTTCAGCAAACTGCCTTACCAACAATGGGAATTTAGCATTAAATATATTGATTGGCTTAATAGGCACTTGTTTGTGGCAGATGTATCTACCTGACATAAATAACAGTGTATATAGCATTATTACAGTGTAATTATTACCCTACACATAAATTATGAAGAATGCATCTAAAAGTTTTCTTTACAATATCTTCCAAGGTTTTAATGAATGAAAGGTTTATTTTGTCATCTTGTAGTTTTGCACAGCCCTTTAAAGCACCTGACTCTTTTTGGATATTTTCCCCTCTATTAAGTTTCTCTTTAGTGCATTGCAGAATTTCTGAACTCTCAGTAGTGATGTTTCACTGACTCCCATTATGACTGAATTGCACAATGACAAATGGAGAATTTAGAAGTTCCAACTACTTGTCTTTCAATATTAATATTTTTTAAAAGATGAAATTTTCCTGCGAACTTGTAAAGTACTATTGAAGTAGGCTAAGTAATGATAAATGTAGATTTGGACAGAAATTGGAGAATGTGAATTTTAAGGTTGGTACTGTATAAATAATTCATATAGAACCATATGTTAAATTGTATTTATTCAAGTAGTAATGTAATTGTCAATTTGCAGTTTTTAAAAAAATTATTGGCGTTATTTCTTTCAAATGCATACTTCATTGATTCCAAAATGAAAGACTTTTACAAACTAAGAAACTAACTTCCAGTTGTGCATACTTAGAGAAATCTAAAGGATAAGTCTTCTCTGTCACATTAGTAAACAGATATATTTTAAGATTTTTTTCATAAAGCCAAATAAATATCAGTAGAGAACAATATTTGTGTTTAATGCAGAAATCACAGAATTATCAGATTTTTAACTCTCAAATTTCCTAAATTGTTTTCAAGGAAGATAGTATCCTGAATTCTTGAGGGAAGTAATATTTTCACTAAATGCTCTTGTAACAGTATCATGTTTTGTATCAAAATTATTTTTATATCTCCTTCTGCCTCTAGACTATAAAAGTCTTAAGAATAAGGATACTGATTGATATGAGTTGCCTGTGTCCTCACCCAAATCTCATCTTGAATTGTAGCTCCCATAATTCCCACATGTTGTGGGAGGGACCTGGTGGGAGATAATCAAATTGTGGGCATAGGTTCCCCATACTGTTCTAGGTAGTGAATAAGTCTGACAAGATCTGATGGTTTTATATGGGGATTTCTCTTTGGCTTGGCTCTCATTCTTTCTTCTCTGCCATAGTGTAAGATGTGCCTTGACTGTGAGGCCCCCCCAGCCTTGTGGAGCTATGAGTCCATTAAACCTCTTTTTCATTTTTCTTTCTTTCTTTCTTTCTTTCTTTCTTTCTTTCTTTCTTTCTTTCTTTCTTTCTTTCTTTCTTTCTTTCTTTCTTTCTTTCTTTCTTTCTCTTTCTTTCTCTTTCTTTCTTTCTTTCTTTCTTTCTTTCTTTCTTTCTTTCTTTCCT